CATCTCTAGAAGTGCATTACGGACCTGGGCTTACCCTAGGCTAAAATGCAGTTCCACAATCATGTTTTCCCATCCATAACAGTAGTAGGTAAAGAGCCACGTAAGAATGTGGAACCCCCTAGTGCAGGGGTGAGCAAACTACAGCATGCGTGCCGGATCAGGCCCCTCAGGGCTTTGGATCTGGCCCGCGGAATTGCCACCCCCATGGCGCTGCGGGCCTCGTGCCACTCCTGGAAGCGACCAGCACCATGTCCCTGCGGCACCTGGGGGAGGGGCAAAGGGCTCCATGCACTGCCCTCGCCTGCAGGCACCACCCCCTGAAGCTCCCATTGGACAGGAACGGGGAACCGTGGCCAATAGGAGCTTCGGAGGAGGTACCCACGGCGAGGGCAGCGCACAGGGTCAGCCACTTCCGGGAGCAGTGCGGGGCCAGGGCAGGCCCCCAGTGTGCACCGCTGCCACCCCAGAGCTACACCAGGTAAGCGGCGCCAGGCCAGAGCCTGCACCCTGAACCCCTCTTGCATCCTGCACCCCAACTCCCTGCCCTGAGCCCCCTGCTACACCCTGCCTACACCCCGACCCCCTGCCGAACCCCACACCCGTCCTGCACCCCAATCTCCTGCCCTGAGCCTCTTCCTGCACCCCACACCCCCTCACGCACTCCAACCCCCTGCCCCAGCCTTACATTCATGGCCCTGCATGCAATTTCCCCACCCAGATATGGCCCTTGGGCCAAAAAGTTTGCCCACCCCTGCCCTAGTACATGGTTTTATTCCATGGTTATCACAGACAGACCAAGGATAAAGGTGAACAACTCCTCCTCAGCATGGGGAGGCCTGTGCATGTTAATAGTGAAAGTCCCTGGATGGTATTGGGATGGTATTGGATATTTAGGCCCCAAGTGCTCATCTCATGAGGCCTCTCTCAAAAGATTTCTCCCCAACCATTGTATAATGGGGCAGAGTTTCCTCCTCCCCCACCCCCACCGCCATAGGGCTGGCCCATAATTTCCACAAATCCTGGCGGAACAGCAGGAAGCCATTTTCATCCACATGGAAGCCCTGTGCTCTCTGTACTGCCAGGGCTTCCCCACACATCTCGAGGCTGCCCCAGGCACTCTCCTCAGAGGTCATTCCCTCACTGGGAGTGGGGAAGGGCACAGAAAGTTAATACAGGCTAGGACTGTATTCACTGGGTGGGGGAATTCTCTATAACATTGGAGTTAGGATGATGCATGTGCCACAAGCCCCCTCCCTCTTCAGTAGGCCCATGGACAAAGGGGAACTCTGCTGCAGAGAGAGCTGACACCCCTTTCCGCACAGGAGACATGTGATGCACTAGTAGATGGCCCCCTTCATGCTCATATGATTGTCTCCATATTGATTAATGACTTGGAGGAGGAATGCGAGTTGGTCATCTCAACATGCAGGATCCTCTACAGAAAAAGTCTGGAGGGCCAACTTAGATAGGCTCAGTGAAGCCGTCCGCCCAGTGCACATGAGCAGTTAAGAAAGGGCACTAAAAGAAAGAGGTAGGAAATCTAATAATATTAAATTGAACCAAGGTGCATCTCACGTCATGCGAATGGAAAGTTTTACTTAAAAAAAACCAACCCACAATATTTGCTTAAAGAGATACTGAGGAAACTAAAAAGACCCAAAGGGCAGGAAGAAAGATGGTTAGAGGAATGGCAAAACCCTATGGCTATTAAACTAGAAAGGAGAAGATTTAGAGCGGACTTGACTAAAGTAGTCAAAGTGTTAAATAGGACAGTGAAAAAACATCAGCCCTGCAGCTCACGCTGCCCCACAACACCAGAACAAGAGATTAGCACATTCAGAACAAATAAAAGAAAACCCTGCTGTAAGCAGTGCACAGTACTGTCCACCTGCGGAATTTATAAATTTTACAGGCTACTCAAAGACATGGTGCAGCTAGATTTTTCTTGCATAAATGTTGTATTCACCTTTGCAACTTTTTAATGCCCATAAAGGCACGGCAATAACAATAATTAATACTAATGTCATAAAATCCATAGCCAAACCTCCACAAATCTAAGTAAGAAGTGTGTTCGCCCTGTACATCTACCCAGTACCCAGTTCAGATACATGGGCAGGGAACTAGCATCGGGCTTTGGCCATAAGCAAATTGGCAGGAGAGAGATCACTTGATCATTGCCTGTTAGGTTCACTCCCTCTGGGGCACCTGGCATTGGCCACTGTCGGTAGACAGGATACTGAGCTAGATGGACCTTTGGTCTGACCCGGTACGGCCCTTCTTATGTTATGTTCTTATGTTCTTAAATTACTGGAGTGAGGAGAGAAGCTTCCACTGAAGCATTGAGTGTTGGCTTCTGCTTCAGGCAGGGAGCCCGAGTAGATGAATAAATTGGCTGATCCAGTAGGACAAGTTCTGTGTCCGTATAAAACATTTTACGTTTTTTAAATAAATAGAAAGCAAAGAATTCTGGTAGAATTTATAACGATCAATCGGCAAACAATCAGCAATCATACCTGTTTTTTATTTCTCTCATTTTAATCCTCATTGTACTACCCTATTTAAATACTTTTTCAAGAGTTAAATGGCCTGTAAAAACCAAGAGCTAATCTAACAAAGCAGCACAATTTAATTAGTAGCTAAGAGGACAGTATACATGAGAAAAATAGTTTTCAGTGTCTGATTGAAAACCAGGTCACTTAGCTTTATGGGGTTAACTAGCCAACAGGAAAGTATTTGATGTTAACACAAAAACAAAACAAATTTCCAATGTTTAATAATGCATAGCTATATGGCTCTAAGCTGCTATTTCTCCTTGGTTCCCAGCTCACTGAAACAATTTTTATCCATCTTTATGAGATTGTACATATGCATACAGTGAGAGCAGTCTATTAAAGCAGATGCAGTGTATTTAAAAGTGCTCAATTAAAGTATGGAATGTTTCTTGTAAATTAATGCCCTATTGAATAACCATCTTCCATACGAAATTGTCTGTTTCTATATTCCAACAATGCTCTACTATCATGCATAGCAGCTTCAAAATATAATTTAAATGCAAGGCTCAATGTAATGAATATTCCCTCATTTCAAAAGAACTGTAAAGTCTATTTTTTATGTGCCAGATAGCTTTTTGTGGCTGCACCACTACCAAGGCCTGCCTTACTCCTCCAGAGCGTGATCAGAGTGCTCTGCATTTCAGAACAGATTAATTAGACACAGGAGCAAATAGAAGAATGAAAAAAAGTGTATATATTCACAGATAATTTGGCAATTGACAGGAAAAATAATTCCCTGGTGACATTGTTCACTAATATTATTTGACCAGTTCTACCACATACACACTACTGACTTCAGTAGGACTACTCACACACTTAAAGTTAAGCATGTCCTTAAGTGCTTTGCTGGACTGGAGCCAGCGTGCTCAGCACATTGTAGGATTGAACCTATACTGCATTTACAGATAGCCAAGTCAGTGAAACTGATTTATGGGGTAGAGATGGGAGAGAAAACAGAAGAATATAGAGAATAAATCTAAGTAGTACTTTTACACTGGAAATCAAGAATGTCAATATTCATACAGCTAAGGTATCCAGCCAATTCCCCACAGGCATATAATCTTTAGTCTGTCATTATCATCCCAATAGATTTACACAACCCATTCAACAAAACTTTAACCACCCTGTTTGGTTGTTAAATCAATATATGGTGTTGGATATATTTTGGGGATATGTATGTTGTTTATTAAATGTATAGTATAAATTTCAAAGGTAGTAAAATCTGAAAATGTACCATTAATAAAATTCTTAGGAATATTACTCCATGAAGGGAAGTTGTGTGGATGGGAATGGGGGGTGTCTGGTAGAATAAAAAATTACTAATATTTTTATACCAGTTTTTCCCAAACTTGGGACGCCGCTTGTTCAGGGAAAGCCCGTGGCGGGCTGGGCTGGGCCGGTTTGTTTACCTTTCGCGTCCGCAGGTTCGGCCAATTGCAGCTCCCACTGGCCGCGGTCGCTGCTCCAGGCCAATGGGAGCTGCTGGAAGCGGCGGCCAGTACGTCCCTCGGCCCGCGCCGCTTCCAGTAGCTCCCATTGGCCTGGGAGCAGCAGACTTTCAAGGATGCCCTGCCAAGAAATCAGTATGCAAGAACTGCAACAAAAAAAGACATTTTGCTAAAGTCAGTAAGTCTGCCAGCAGTGTTGCATCTGGAGTCTTCACACATGAGGATGATGGTGAACTGAATCCTGATGGTGTTTGGAATGTGAGAGGAGATCACCACACCACCAAGTGTGAGTTAATGGCCTTGAGAGGAGGACATTAGTGGATTCTGGTTCTGCTTACACTAGAATTCCCAGCCACCTTTAAACTGTGCTATTTTCCAGCTCCTAACTGAGTTGCATCCTCCAGACAAATACCCCAGAGGGTATGGTGCATCTCCCAACCCCACCAATGGTCTTTTTTGCAGCTGCTCTCAAGTACAAAGGCGATAATACCGGAGGGGAAATCTATGTAGTCCAAAAGGCAATTTCTAGTTTAGGAAAGAATCATCAAGGGATCTTCAGATGATATTAGATCTGAATAGTACAGAACCTGTCCTGCAAACTGAGGATAGGCTACAGCCAGGAATTGTCTCTGACTTTCCAGAAGTTTTCACTGATACCACAGGTGTAGCAAAAAAGTTCAAAGCACAAGATCCAGCTAAAAAACAAAGTGGTGCCTGTATAGCATAAAGTGCGAAACATACCAATTGCATTGAGACAACCACTCAATGAGGAGATTCTGAAACTATGCAAAGCAGAGATCATTGACCCAGTTGATTCATCAGAATGAGTTTCTCCTGTCATTGTTGCCAGAAAGGCTAATAGTGCTATCTGCATGTGTGTGGACTTGAGAGCGCTAAACTTCAACATGTGGATTGCCATCCTCTACCCAACATCAACAAAATGCTGCTCACCTTGAAGGAGGCAAGAGTCTTTACAACCCTTGATTTATCCACCGCTTACCTCCAGATCCCCTTAATGGAAGAATCCCGCAAGTACACAGCTTTCATCACTCCAGAAGGTTTGTTCCAATTCAAGCGGATGCCATTTGGGTTAGTCGCTGCAGCACCCGTATTCCAGAGAATGATGCATGGGATCTTTGGAGAGACAAGGGGCATTACTTACTTTCAAGATGACATTCTAGTTTATATGCAGTGTCGTTGTAGCTCTGTTGGTCCCAGGATATTAGAGAGACAAGGTGGGTGAGGTAATATCTTTTATTGGACCAACTTCTGTTGGTGCAAGAGACAAGCTTTCAAGCTACACAGAGCTCTTCTTCAGACCAATAAAAGAAAAGCTGGATATTACCTCTCCCACCTTGTCATTCTAGTGTATGGCAAAGATGTATCCAAACATGATGTCATCCTAAAATAGGTTCTAGAAAAACTTTGGCCACATGGACTTACCAACAGCAACAAGAAATGGCAATTCTGTACAATCTGACATATCTAGTACACACATTCTCTCAGAATGGCATACAACCAAAAGAAGACCTGGTGAAAGCCATTCATGATTCACCAGAGCCTGACAACAAGGACTAATTTCAATCCTTCTTGGGACTGTGTGAATACTACTCTGTTTTTACAGCAATTTACTATAAAAGTAGTTCCTTTGAGTCATCACCTAAAAAAGGATGTGAGGATTGAATGAAATGAAGTGTGCAAGGACAGCTTTAATGAGATAAAACATGCAGTTTCCACCAGCCCGGATCTTAGCCCTTTTGATTCTGAGAAGCAAACAATTGTCACAACAGATGCTTGAGAGTATGGTGCTGTCTTGACTCAGCTAAAAAAAATGGACAAGAAGTCACTATTACATTTGCCTCCAGAGCCCTGACTGATCCAGAAAACTCCTATTCTGTCATTGAGAAAGAAGCTCTGGCCTGTTTCTGGGCAGTAAGAACGTTCAGAACATACCCGTGGGATAGGAGATTTATCTTAAGATCTGATCACAATCCTCTTTCCGTTTTCTTCACCATGTGAGGCTCTGGATGAGCAGCACCAAGAATTGTCAAATGGGCCACCAAACTAATGGACTTTGATTTCCAGACAGTGTATCTTGCAGGTACCAAAAACACCACTAAAGACTGTCTGCCTGGCCTGCTCATATCTTATCATGAGAGTTCAGTTGTGAACAGCAATGAATAGATTGTCTTTGCACAAATCTCTGCTGCAACTCAAGGAGTGATCACAGAATCAGAGTGAGCAACAGCCATGAGAGAAGACAAGGTACTTCAGGACCTAAAGACTTATACAGTCAATGGGTGGCCTTATAAGATGAGGATGCCAGAACACTTGCAACCATATAGACACGTATCACAAGAATTGTCCTTGTAAATGAATGCATTTTGAGAATTGGCCATCTTGTTGTGCCTACATATCTGAGAGAATGATTGATCCACCTGGCACATGAAGGACATCTCAGGAGGAGTCTAACCGAAAGACAACTGTGAGAAGACTTCTAATGGCCAGGGATGGACAAGCAGGTTGAGGAAATAATCAAGAATTGCCTGGCTTGTGCAAGTAATTATAAGTCACAGAAAACCTTCAGCATCCCCCTCACGCCAGTTAACTATCCCAACTGTCCATGAAAGAAAATAGTTCTCGATATAATGGGATCATTTGAAGAAGATCTGTCTGTTACACAAAGGTTTGTCATAGTAATGGTAGACTATCATTCAAAGTGGTAGGAAGTTACATTCACTGGAAAGGTTACCACTGAATTACTGATACAGTTCCTGTCATTGGTCTTCACTCACGAAGGATTTCCCAAGGAACTGGTATCAGACAATGGAATGCAATTGACCTCTGCTGAAAAGCAACACTACCTCAATAGCAATGATATTGAGCACAACCCATTTCTTTATACCATTGAGAGCCAATGAGAATGAACAAACCATAGAAAGCTTTACGCAAAACACTGTTTGCTTACAGGACCACTCCACACTCAACAACAAGAATATCATCCTTTAAACTTTTAAGAGGACGCAAGGCCAATACACAACTTACTACCTGTCAAGGGCTTACACATTCTTTTTTTCAACCAAACCTTCCAATGAAACTATTCATGAATGTGTTAAGAACAAACAAGAGAAATACAAACTGGATGCAGATTGTAAGCCAGAGGCTAAACCTCAAAAGTTTCAAATGGGAGATTTTGTTCATGTAAAGCTGCCATATAGAGTCAAAAGAAGATGTTCAAGACATTCATGCCCTATGCAGATAAGAGAAATCTGAGGAGATTCTGCTGTATTTAGGGTGACCATATTTCCCTATACTGAATACGAGTCACCTGGTAAAATTACTCGTATTCAAGCAAATTCAATGGCAATCAATCAGAACTGTGCAGAGAAATGTTTTCTCCCCCATTCTGCTTCTTGCCCTCCACCACCAAATTTAGAATTCCACTGCCCCCCAAAAGATACAGGTGTGAGGTATAGAATGGGCAATAGTCAGTCCTGGATCAAAAAGCACACTGCGTGTAACAACTATGAAAAGTTCCTGATTAGAGGTGTGTCAGCTAATTTTCACTAACATATTTGGGACAAACTCACATGCAGGTCTCTTGGAAGAAAACAAAGTGTACCAATTACATTTTCCACGTTCTTTGCTCCAGAGTGCCATTTCTCTGCCACTTCTGTTTCCACGTCTCTCCCCCATGTCTTCCCCAATCTTCATGTGTTGGCAAAACTTAATTTTTATATTGCATTTTGGAAACGTTAACTGATTCACCAACACAAAATCCCTGTTAGGTGGGTATAATAAGTGTGCATTATAATCATCATTATCTCCATTTTACAGATAAGGAAATTAAGTCACAAAACATAAGTGATTTGACCAATGCCACAAAAGTAGTAAGGGTACGTCTATACTGCCCACCAGATCGGCGGGTAGTGTTCGATGTATCGGGGATCGATGCCTGTACTCCACCTCGGCAGAAGGAGTAAGCGGAGTCGACGGGGGAGCCGCGGCGGTCGACTCGCCGCCATGAAGACGGCCAGGTAAGTCGAACTAAGATACTTCGACTTCAGCTACGCAAATAGCGTAGCTGAAGTTGCGTATCTTAGTTCGAACCCCCCCTCCACTAGCGTAGCCCAGGCCTAAGTGTCAGAGCTGGAATTAAAACAGAAGAGTCCCTTGTGGTCAGTCCACTAGGCACTGATGCTTCTCATGCTATTGAGCTGTCTCTCCTTGTGGCAAAAGATTACATTAGATGCCAATGAATGGAGCCAGCTCCATTTCAGGCAGCCAAGTGTGCAGAGCTGGAAGATTTAAATTCCAGATGGAGGAGACTCACCCACGCTAGCTCCGATCAAGCGAGCGCACTAAAATAGAAGCGTAGCCATGACAGCACAAGCAGCAGGAGGGGATCATAGTTGGGACAGCTAGCCATACTCAGGCGGGAGCATACTCAGGGCAGCTAACCCCTGCCTCTATGGCTACATTTCTATTTTTAGTGCACTAGCTCAATCAGACCTAGTGCGGATATGTCTCCTCAAGCTGGAATTTACACCTTCCCACTCTAGTCTAGGCAGACCCAGGGTCAAAGTTTGGCTCTATGGGGAAAAGCTGGGTCACCTGCCATTTTACCCTATAATAAGTCCAATTCAAATTCCGACCCAATTACAGTGACATGACCCATTCCAGCAAAGTGAGCATAAAGAAAGTCTACAGAAAAATGTTTGGCTATGTTTACATCACAGAATCATTCCATGTCATGGACACCTCATAGCTGTCTCTAAAACTGTGCAAGCTCAAAAATTAAGTGGGATTTTTCAAATCCAGTCTGTATGTTAAATTTCAGACCGGCATGAGGAACCAGACACAGCATACAAGTGCATTTTATACTGGGGTGATATGAAATTAAAACAAAGAGTTGAATAGTATCCCTTCAAATTGTTAGTGCAAATAAATTAAATCCAGTGAAAACTCGGAAGATCTATGGGAAAAAGATGTCAGGATGTATAGCAGGTACAGGCTACAACTGCTATAAGTAAGGTTATAAAAGAGTATCAATTGTATCCCACTTTTTTCACATTTTACCCCAAAACATTTGCCTTTTGGACTGAAAGTTTCCACATTTACTCTCTGAGCAAAGGTGAGACTATCTATGCACCTTGCTTATAGTCATTTCATCTAAACCTCCCTATTCAGAACAGCACTTAAGCACATTCTTAAGTCCCATAGTCATCACTTTAACACGCTTAACTTTGCACATGTGGTTAGCTTTAAACATGTGCTTAAGTACTGTTCTGAATAAGGATGGACTTAAGCATTGCTTATATACTTTCCTGAATTGGCCCCCGGAGACCATCTTTGGAGGGGGGCTAGTATCAGTGGCATATCTCAGAGGGATAAAGCTTAAGACATGTCCAAGAAAAAACAACACAGACCACCAATGAGAGAGCAGGCGGAGAACACAAATGCAGACGTGCCATTTATATATTTGCTGCAATAGCAAAGGATTTAAAGAACAGGGATATAAATTATTTTCAGGAAAATAATGCGGTGCTTTCCCATAACTTTTACAGCCACTTTTGGCTTTCCAGCCCAGCACCTCTGTTTCCATTTATTAAAGGGACATTGTTAGGTTAATAGAAGTTACATTTATAAAAAATAATTTCCTCTGCACTTGTATATCACTGCTCTTCCACAGAACTCCAAGCACTTTACAGACATTAACAGATTACTCCTCGCAATATCCCTGAGAAATAGACAAGGATGATTCTGTTTTACAGCTAGGAGAAATCAGGGTCAGATGCTTGGGGCTTGTCATCCCTGCAACGTTAACTAGAGTGTTGCCTTTAACTTGGGTCCTGTCCTATGCAAAAGGTCTTAACTCAAGTGCATTGGTGCTTTTAATTCAAGTTGGCTGGCCTGTCAAAGGATATACCGAGGCAGTCAATAGGTGAACTGCAGTCAAATCCAGACCACCAGATGCTTTTGACCGGACTATGAAATTTTTTACTTATTATTATTATTGTATTAATGTTCTCTGGAGTCTGGACTTTGACTATACTTTGACCAAGAAATGTGGACCTTGACAAAAAACAATTGA